TGGTGTGCCTTTTATTGAGAAGAAGATTGAAGGAGTTGGAGGGATTCGCATTTACTTTTGGATACATTCAGTTTAGATGCTGAAAGCACATCCAAGCAGTGATGCCAAGTAGACAGCTGAAGTTTTGCTTTTGTCTCCATCAAGTACTTCAGTTCTTTCCCATCGAGCTGTTTTGCTGACATTTCAGCAAGTTCACCTGTAAGTTATGGCAGTAGAAAGATGCTGAAGCTCTTGAAAATGAGAAGCACATTGTAACATTTTAGACAGCAACATTAATATAGAGAAAGCTTTGCTTTTCCCTTTTACTTTGGGTCACAGGTAAGATATAATTGAGGGAGACAGCAAGTAAAATGAATGGAGAAGATAAAAGAATAAAAATGAGACATTGACTGTGAATGTAGAGGAGCTATACTCATGCTCCATGTTTCTTCATTTTAGGGTGACTCATTATACTTAGTGTTTACAAGTGGATTTGTGAAATACAAATGGTTGTGACTAAGAAGGAAAGAGGCTAATAAAGAATAATGCTTTAGATCTTTTTGTTGACATCCCCTCCAGGGACATGTAAACACCTCCTGAAAACTTTCCCAGCTCCCCTCCAAGTTTTTTTTTATTCTTTTCTTCCATTTCCTTTTTGTTTTGTGTTACAACTATTATTTGTCTTTTTGTTCCCTTAGTTCTCCAACTTCCAAAGCTGGGAATTTCAGCAGCTAAGGGGATACTGTGAAGGCTAGTAAGATAGGAAAAAATTAGGCTACTTCATCTTTTTTGTTTTCAGCTTTGGGTGGTAAAATACTACCACCTTCATATTTTTTGTTATGAATTTTGATTTTATATTAATAATATGATATGAAAGCTCAAGTGGATGTTACACGTAAGTCAAGAAAAATATGCCTCAACTCCTCCTGTCTGAATTTTACTCAAAATGAGTATTAAAGAGCAAATCATGTAAAAAAGATTGATCTGAGAAAATTTGCCAAATGGAAAGATTGCTGGGAGATGTTTTGTCAAGAAGAAAAATGATTGTAGATTATAAAAGACAATAGAAATCTCAAACTATGTATTTACTACCGTTTCTCATTTAGGAAATAAATATGTAAATCGTTTTCTTGGACTGCATTTAAGCAGAACTCTTCCGCTAAAGGTGTAAATATTGTCTCCATAATTTTAAGGGGGTTCTATAGTACAGTAAATTTGAGGAATACGCCATATCATGCTCCCTCATGGAGCTTCAAAATGTACACGAACATCCAAAGGCTCTTGACAATGCTGCACAAAGTGACCTATACAAAGCATCCCAGCATCTCTAAAACTTATTCAAGCCCTGAACATTTTGTTCTTCTCAGCACAATTTTTAAGTATCTGTTCCACAAGAGACCAGTTTGGGTCAAACTTACCTAAGTCAGTGAAGAAATATTTGCTATTTTAAGACATGACCATAGTAAGACATTCTAGATTTTCTTATTCATTTATGTATTCTGTAACTTTCAGAATTAGGGAGTTCTACCTGGTACCTAAATTATCTGACTGAAATATTAATCTTATTTTTCCCAAATTCTTAGTTTCTTAACCAGAAGGACCTACGAATTTCCTCTCAGGATGACCCTTTGAACAACCAAAGAAAGATATTAAATCATAGTGTACCTTCTCTTCTCACCCTAAAGATCCTTAATCACTTTTATTATTGCGTAGTATCAAATTTCCACTTATTAAATTATTCATTATTTTTCTTTTATAGGCTATAAAATCTTTGTTTTAGAGTATGATCTTATATGCTAAATTATTACCACATTTGGATTTTGGCCACTTAAAAAATCAGAGGTCAGAAAACTGGACAATATTTTTGTAAAATTTTACAAATATATATACATAAAAAAGAAAATCCATCTGACTTTCCTTCACTTCATTTCATTGCAACATATTACCCAAGTCAACTCCTCTCAGTTAAGAAAACTCATAAAATGAAAATCTTTTGCTAATTGAGTAACAATATTGTGAAACTTCTCAAAGCACAGCAGATGGCATATTTGCACATAAGTAATGAGTAGACCATTCTTGACTCAGAATTTTTTTGCAGTAATTAATACAATCCTTTTCCCCTAAATGTTATGACATCAAGGTTTCATGGAAGAAACTCAGATGGGAAAATGTTCAGCGACACAATCAAAAATGTATTAGCTTGTATGAAGTAAACACCTGTATCCACTAGCAAACTAAATCTAATTTTCCATTGTTATTTTTAATACATTTACAAATATAAATGTATAAACTCTTTAAAGTTACTAATTCTTCTCTTTTCAAGCTGCATGCTTTAGTGTATGAAATACAATAAGCCATTTAAAAGTAGTGCCACTTATTAATTCAAATCTAAATAATGCAATTAAATATAAATCTCTAAAATTCTTAACCATCAGTAAGAGCTGTGCAAGTTTTACAAAAATTACAAATCTCTGGGTAATACTGATAAGACTTCAAAAAGTGAATGGCTTATAAAACGTCAATAATTGTAAAATATATATAGGGTATCATGATGAATAAATAAAGAATAAACAAATACTAATAACAAAACATTGCTGATGTCTCCAGGAGCTCAAATTGAGTAGAGGTAGATTGCACATGAAAAACAAAGCAGAATAAAACAAAACAAATCTCAAGCAGTCATAGGTAGGTAGACTGTTATAACAAGTGAAAAGAATGCATCAGTAACCCAGCAGTTGGCTAAGGAAGTCATGATTTCTAGGTAAAGATGTTGAGGATGAATTCACAAGGAAAATTATAAGACATTTGAAGGCTTCCAGGTGTTAAAGAAAAGCCTGAAGTTCGCAGGAACTGTTTGAACACAAGCATGAAGTTTAAGTGTGAAGGTGTGTTCAAAATGATGAAAGTGAAGTGATGAGTGTTCAGTATCTAGGGGAGATGAGGGTCCAAAGTTAGTTTGGAGTTAGACAGTATGTCAGATTGATAGGTTTTGTTTTGTATTGTTTGATGTAGTTCACTTTAAAGGATAAATATACATATGAACAATGTATAACCTCACAAATCTTTTGAATTATATGAAGTTAAAAGTGTCTTTCTTTTGCCCAGAATTTTCTGTCTTGCTTAGACTTCCTTTAGGTAATAACATATTTTTCATAGTACTGTAAACTTTACCCAAATTACTACAAATATTCTTTTTATCTTGAAATTACTTTTAAATTTCAGCTTTCCCAAACAACACATGCAGTTGAGATATTTGTAAATGTAAGGGACAAAAGAAAAACAGACTGTTTAGAATAAGACTTTTAATCTGAATTTTACATGAAAGGGTTGTAATTTTGTAAAATGATACAGAAAGCATTTTTAGGATTATAGAGATTAAAAGTGGTGCCCACAGATTAAAGATGGCGCCTGTATAGGAAATTAATGAAATAGAATGGCAATAAAACTCGTGGACTAAAATGTTGAGGAAATGCAAACCAAGTGATTCTATTCAGGGCATTGACAAATGATGACATATTAAAGCATTAGAATTTATAAGAGTAAATAAATAAACTATATTAAGAAACCAACAAAAATATTGTCCAAGTTTTATTTATCAGCCCTCAGATATTTTTCACATAGCTTGCTCTCTTACTTAATTGAGGACCCTGTTCAAATACCATTTCTTTTTTTTTTTAAGATTTTATTTTTCCTTTTTTCTCCCCAAAGCCCCCCGGTACACAGTTGGGTATCTTTAGTTGTAGGTCCTTCTAGTTGTGGCATGTGGGACACCACCTCGGCATAGCCTGATGAGTGGTGCCATGTCCGCGCCCAGGATTCGAACTGGCGAAACCCCGGGCCACCGAAGCAGAGCGTGCAAACTTAATGACTCGGCCACGGGGCTGGCCCCCCAAATACCATTTCTTAAAGAAGCTTTTCAGAGCTACTCTACTTAGGATAGCAGAACATAGGTTTAGAATGGAATAGAGTTCTAGAAAAGAGAGAGGAAAAGTAAAAATTTAGAAAAATCAAGTCAATATATTTGAAATATTCTTACTGACACCAGAAATGAATAAGTGCATATATTCTGTTTGGATCATAATCATTAAGAAGATCAGATATTTTATCATGGGCTCTAGAATTAGATACATTAATCATCACTTGAGATAAGTATCTATGCCAGAAAAATTAGTAGAACAGCCTTTTTGGGGGAAAAGCAGTCTAATATAACTTTAAATAATCAATGCTGTTACAGAGCTCTTTTGGTTAGATCAATTCATAATTAGTTCTTCCAATCTTGCTTCCAATTTGAATTAAATGAGTCTACTTGATTAATATTATTTTGAATTTAATGCATATTTTTAAGATATACTCCACATTGATTAATTGAATCATTTACAATCACTTTTGAAATATATAGTGATATATGGGGCCAGCCCAGTGGCATAGTGGTTAAATTTGCGTGCTCCACTTCAGTGGCCTGGGGTTTGCCAGTTCAGATCCCAGGGGAGGACCTATGCACTGGTTATCAAGCCATACTGCAGCAGGTGTCCCACATATAAAATAGAGGAAGATGGGCACAGATGTTAGCAGAGGGCCAATCTTCCTCAGCAAAAAAGAGGAGAATTTGCAGCAGATCTTAGCTCAGGGCTAATCTTCCTAAAAGAAAAAAATAAGATAAGAAATATATAGTGATATGATAAAGGAATTTGAGTGATCATTCGTGACAATACTTTGTATATATTATAAAATTACATCATAGCACCATTCTAGCAAATATGACAAATGACTGAATAATTATATTTTACAGTGGAAGAAATCAAAGTGTGTAGAGATTAACAGTATACTGAATACCACTGATATTGCCTTGGATAGATATTGGAAGAAAATAATGATTTTTTTGTCTTAGTTCTATAAACAGGTTATATGACACTTCTTGCAACAAGGTACATGTCCTTTCTGTGAATGAGATAATTGTTGTTTTCTGCATTAAGCCCTAGAGTAGATTCAAATATGTCCATGTAAATAACTATAAGAAGGGAAACGTTTTGATAAAATATTTTATTATTATTAAGAATAATAACAATATAATCATGGTTATAAAAATAACTTTATTAACTACAGAAACTTTATATACAAGTCCTAACCACAGTATTCTCTTTTTGGGTAAGCATCCAACTATACCACTCAATAGATAGCTTATCAATTTCCTATTTACACATAAGACTAACAGTCATAATATCCACAGTATTCCATTTTCAGTTTCCTAAAGACAAAAACTTTCTGTGCAAATGGAAATGAACCTACTTAAAATTACAATGTCAAGATTTACAGGGTCCAGAGAATTTTAACATTTTTTATTAGTAAATTCTTAGTTCAAAATTCATTTGAAAGATAACTTCTTTTTGGACCTTACTGTGAAAAGTAATTTATTCGCACAAAGATTGTGTCTTTTTATTCAAATTAATTTTATTTTTCAAATGAGTTTGTCCTTAAATATGGAATATAATTGATTGAAAGTAGCTATCTTTTGAATCTCAGTAAATCAGTTTAAAACTTTTTAGTGTGAGAGTTTATTAAAATTCTATACCTTATGATCTCTATATTGCAATACCAGTATTTCTTTTTTAAAAAAATATTTAGAAGCAACAAGAAAATGCCTGACAGCAATTTCTCACTTCTTGACAGTGTTTTTTTCCCAAGAGAATGTTGTGGCTATAAGATTCACTTTGTACAGTACCATTGGTACCAACAAGAACTATTCACAGGAATAAGTGAAATACAGTTTTGCTATCACATGCCATTATTGTTATTTTTCTTGCTTTTCAGTGTCTCACATTTGTCATAGTTTGAAACACTTAGATAGCAAGCAAGAGCCTGTTAATACTAGAGATTGACTCAGTATAAACTATTTCACTGAGGACCTGCCCACAGCAAATAGGTAAAAGTCATTATATATTTTACAATAAAATTAAAGCAGTATACAAAAGGAATATCATCCTTTCTGCACGGCAGAGGCATTATGACAAATATTTTAATTTTACATTACTATTCCTGGTAGACATAAGAAAATGTCCACAGTTATAACAGCATATAGCCATTATTCAAACAGCCAAAAAAAAAAAAAAATAGCATTGAAAACTTCTAATTTAAAAGATCCTTTTGTCCATCACTCAAAATGAAACGGATTTTTGGATATTTGGATTTTTCACTTTTGTAGTTTATTAAGAAAAGAATGCCCAGGAAATAGTATCTTCTACCAGAGAAAAATGCATGATTATATCCTGTCTTACCACCTAAGGTAACATGGATCTTGTTCATCTTGCTTTCATTGTCGATTCCACCGGTCTCCTTCTATTACAAAGGAAACTTCCCAAAGAAAGAAATGCTTTGTACACCAACTATGACGGTTTATTGGTGGTCTTGTTTTTACTCTTTAATAAAGCGGAAAACATTGAGTTCAAAATGTCTGAGAAGTTAGCTGCATCTTGTATCTAGGTAATCCCTATCTCTCTTTCCATGGAAATTTAGAGGAAAAGACATGAACAAAGTATTTTAAAATGTGACTATTTAAAAATGTTACAATTTTATAAATTTTTACAAATATCATTAATATGTGACAATAAAATTTTGCTGGCAAGAAGAAACTGAAAAATACTTTAATATTTGGGTAATATGCCTTTGAAATTTATGTGTGTTTTTATTAAAATGGTATACTGATAAGGGAAAGAGGAATATAATCAGATAAGATGGTGTGGACTGGCAACTCGTTGGATCTCTGTTTTCATTGTTTCTTAATACCAGCACATATCTTATTACAAAAAAATGTGGCACAAATTGGATAAGCATCTCTGGATTTGCTGCCCTAGACTCTTGAACTAAGCTCTTGGATAAACTTAAAACCACTCTACTCAAGATTGAATAGTGTCCTATAGAGCTTTCAGAGCATCGTCTTTATCCCTGGCCTTAATAGAGATCACTCAAGAGAAACACATAAGAGAAAGAATATTGGATTTGAATCATTCAAATAATTATTTTTAAAGATCTTTTATACAGGAAGATTTTGTGAAAATTCAGAGCCTATCCTATTACTCTGTTATTTCATTCCTTGACAAATGCATGATCTTCAGCTAATCATGACAAATACAATAATAAGTATGGTAATTTGCTATTATCATACAAAACATGAAATTTGAATGAATATCTCCCGTGGCATTAGAAAAGATCTATGTAAAGAAAGTAAGGTAAAATGAAGATATCTTGATAAAATATCTCATTCAGCAGATTCAACTTTACTTTAAAAAATAATTGAATACAGAGTTTACAAAAGCTAGTTCCTTTCCTTTCCTGTTTTACATTTGTTTCTTCTTTTACTGGAGTAAAGTTTTATTAAGCTAAAAGACTTCCTGGGTGAGAAAAGTATTTTGATTTTTTTCTCCAATATATACTTTAATGCATAATTTACTGAAGGGCTACTTAGAAATCTTTGGAGACAAATGGAAATTTTCTTCTTATATATAAAAAAATTTAAAGAGGGTGAACTCCAAGCCAATCACAGCAGCAAGCCTTACTGTTAACATTCTTAAAAAATTTTAAATACCGAAACATTTTAAAACTTCACTTGGAACAGTTATCTAAGAACTTAAAAAATTCTTTAGGGAAATAGATCTAAAAATATCTTGCATAAATAAGTGGCCCTAAATTTGGAGGGAAGAAATAATACTAATACACATATCACCCTCTTCCCTTTAAGAATTAGAAACTACACAAAATAACTAGGTTGATAAATATATGTAAACATCTAAATTAGGTTTTTATTTAACTTTGTGGGTCATGGCCACACCTTCAGTGCCAACCAGTAAAGGTCATCTGCAAATTATGTAGGGAGGATGAGCTAGTCACTTCTACTGTGCACTTTTTCTTAATATTTCTATTTTTTTCTTAAGGAAAAACTATAGGTACTCATCTTCAGATTATTTAGGGGTAACATTAGATACACCACAATTTGAACTCTAGTGCAAGTACACGTGTACCAGGCATGTGCATATGGGTACATGATTTCGAAAAAAGTTACATGTACTAGTATTATAGGATACACAATAAGGAGAAATGAACGAAATATAAGGTACGGCATATGAGAGGTAATATAATTTGATAGAGAGTTACAATTTAAGGACACAGGTATAAATTGTTTCTGTGAGGTTAAAATAACGTTTAACTTATGATTTATTCACTATTAAAAAACTAACCTTGGAAAGCAGCATAGAGAGATTAATTGATCTTTTCCATTAAATCTTTCATCATCTAGCAATTACACCTTTGCATTTTTTAATCCATTCAAGTATCTTCAGGAGATATGTTACTGCACTTGCATGTACCTTAATTCACTTCAACATTTACAAAATAACACTGACAAACAAAACAACAGAAAACACCCATAAATATTAATGAGTATCTTAACAAACATGACACTCAAGTAGTTGTCTTAGGATTAAGTGACATTTTAATTCCATGTTCTGCAAAATCTTCATGTAAAAGAAAGTTGTATTGATGGAAGCTTCTGACATGGTTACATCAGCTACAACTGTGGTACCTTATATGTTAATATAATTTTGTGTATCCATTTTGCATAATATGCTACTCGGACAAAAATACCAGGACGATTTGGAATGGCACATCCACGACCAGGAACAATGACACCAAGAACCATTCTCATTTTATGTTGTTCACAAACAAGTGGGCCACCATAATCCCCCTAGGAAGAAGACATGCAACAATACAACAAAAAAAGTCTTATTTTAGAAATAAAAATTAATAATTCATTAACATTTCCTATATAGATTCCTACATGTATCTCAAAGGTACATAAATACAGAAAAGAGTAACTGCAACTAAAATATGAAGACATAAAATTGATGTACTAGACCATTGGTTGCCTTCTGTTAAATTACCCAAGTGAGACAGAGATAAGTACAAAAGTTCAAAGTGTTTTATCATGTGTAGTATTCATTTAAGAATGACTTGTCTTTTCCAAAATATTCACTCATCTTTCAAAATAGATTTTGCCTTTGTTGAATGCAGACTAATTAACACAAAACCATTGACAACTATTTATGAAAGTAGATTTTATATTTATTTTTATTTACTTCTGACGTTCAAAATATGTTCAATATAGAAAATTTGAAAATGTAGAAAAATACAAGAACAAATAAAACTCTACCTATAATCACACAGTTTTAACGTCTAAACTACATTAAATTTTCTCTTATGTTTAAAGGTCTTTTTTTTCCCTTCCTCCAATCCTGCCCCAGAAAGATCTTAACAAGTTAAATAAAAACTTGTGGTTGATAAAATAATTCTATTTACTTTTTGGAAATTGCCTTTCCAAGCATAAAGAAGGAATGCTCCTTTACTTACTGTTGATATTAGTTGTTAATATAGTTATATTTATATTTATACCCCTCTTTGTGGGAGGTAGCCTATGATTCTTGGCATTTCTTGTATGGTAACCCTGTTGTATCATGAGATATACATAGGTGGTAGATAGATGAAAGATGAATAGATAGATTGATAGGTTGATTTATGTACATTTTAATATACATATATATTTACACATATTGTTACACTGTTACATTACAAATGTGCTGCATCACTTTCATGTACCATGTAGCCTCCTAAGATTGCAATGACTGGCTTTTGGCATCCTTAAATGAAGAAGAGTGTTTGGAACTATCTTAACATTTCCCCAACAGTGATGTGATGAGATAGAACTAAACTACTGAAAAATTGTCTTCTGTAATAAAGGTGGAAAGAAGACAGCTATCAACATTTCACGATGGGGAAAATCAAGGAGGGGGTGAAGTAGAAGATAAAACAGTAAGGAAAAATAGTTTATTCTAAGAGACTTAATATAAGCTATACCACATGAGTTAAGAAATCTGACTTTTAAATAAATGAACCAGTGATTACTGATGCAAACTCTTCAAAGAAATTCACTTTGGGAGACTATCACTAAAGGTGATGCTGTTGCTATAATACAAACATTTGAGAGATTTCTTTTTCAGGAGTTTAGATTTCTGTGGTTTCAGTGATTATATTACCCTGTTTTAAATATCAGTGATATAAAAAGACATTCTGAAGGATAAATGCATTTTTGAGAAGTGGCAGAATCAATTTGAAGTTGTCTTGTCAATATGGATAAAAAATAACAAATACATGATAGTGTGATAAATACTTCAATGTTAAAGTTAGGTATCTAAGATTATATAGATAATAAACCGGATTACAGGCTATTCCTGAAGAGTAGTTGCCAAAGAATTTTTAGTAACGGCAGTAGGGTTGGGTTAAGTGCATAGCTTCCTAAATGATCTCAAAGATTGGGTCTACCTCAAAACTTCATACTTACAGGGCTCTCAGGGAAAGAGAAGAGAGTACAGGAGAAAGAAAGAAGAAGGAAGGAAGGAAGGAAGGAAGAAAAAAGTAGTAGATTTTTCACTTGTTATAATGAACACAGTAATACCAATTTACTGGAAAGCACCAAATTTGAAAGTGGTTATAAACACATAATCTGTTTCCAACCATATCACTTTAAAGCAGTTCTAAAAACTCTAACTTACTAAAGGTTTTCTTTTCAGGAATAAATCTCAGAGCAATATATATAACACATGCATTTCAATACATATTTATGCTCCATATTTAAGGCATTTTCCTACATGTCAAAAGATATTTCACATTATTGAACTTATTTCATGCTTTGAGACACACGGTGTTTTACAATTCCACAGCTCCCAGGCTTGGAGAGCATGTCTTTTACATTCAAAATAAATCTAAAATAACAGTGTAACAGCTTGTCTATGTAAAATAAGGATAGGAATCCTGCCAAGTTGAAAGAACAGTTGCCTAACAGATGAAATGTCCTAGCTCTTAAAGTCACAAACTTTGACCTTTGGAGTTTTTTTTAAATAGAATTTGTTTATACACACACACACACACACACACACACACTGGCTGGATCCAAAATACAACGTTTAAACTTTTAAAGGCACATATCTCTTAATAAAACTTTAATAGAGTTCATTTAGGGAGAATTTGGTAAGATCAGATAAATTTTTTAAAAATGCTAGAAAAATGCAAGCTATTGTATCAATCTGCATATGGATACTTCTAATTTGAACAGCTTTCCCTTAGAGTTCTGGCTATGTTAGTTTATTGTTTTTGTGAGAGACAAATGTCATCATAGTTTGCTGCTAATGAAACATGGATTGTCTCACTGTTTAATTACAAGAAATGCACAAGGATAGTACAGGGTTATCTTTCCCAGTTCCTCTTTCTTAGAACAGGCTGTGGTAGAACGATTTTGATTTGAGAAAAATATAAAAAAAATAAACATAAGAAACTATGCTATCCATCACAAACTCCTTACTTAAAAAAACCTCCCTTTTTACCTCGCATGGTCCTGATACAATATTTTCAGCCCCAGCACATATTTCAGACTCATTCAAAGTCACCTTCCCTTGATGATATTGGCTGCACTTCTCATTCCCCATAATATAGAGATGTGCTACTCGTAACAGACCATCAGAGTTGATCACTAGAATGGTGCAAAAAATGTACAGTTAATGAGCACAGTGTAAGGTAAGAAAAATAAGAAACAAATACAATTTTTTAATAAAATAAATATGATATTGTCTTATCTTTTTAAAAATAGCTTACATCCAGTGTAGCCCCAGCCATAAACACTGCAAGTGGTTTTTTCAGGAATCGTGCATCCATAATTAGGTAAATCAATTGTACTAACAAAATCATCCAAGACAGCAGGCCTGAAAAGAGAAAATATAATGGTAAGTACCTTTGACTGAATTCAACACAAAATTAACATATTAAAATGTAGTGTTAATGTTTAATATGATATTTAGAGAGAAAAGACAGTCATTTCTTTTTAAAAAAAGAAAAAGGGAGTGTCTCATATATAATGTAAAAATTTCAGTAGGTAGTAGAGAAATGAGCTATTTATTTGCTAATATTTAAGAATAAATGATCATTGCAGTTTTTTAAAAATCATTATTATACTTGTTAAAGTTATCAGATAATTGTTCATTGAGCTTTAGTTTTAGAGCAGGCTGATGAGACTGTTGGCTCAACTTCATTTATTCATTTTTGCAAATTCTGAAAATGCCTCTCTCTCTGTCTCTGTGTATATGTGTATATTTATATATTGACTCACATATACACATATATAAATATATATGACATGTGACATATGATTTTATAATAAATCTACGTGATAGAAAGAATAGCCACATAGCTGAAGAAACAGTTTCAACAATTCCAGTCTAGGATAAAAATACAAAACCTTCAAAAGGAACTAACCTAGTAAGCTTCAGTAATACCAGATCTGATCCTTCAGGCCCATATACCAGCTGGGAAACATTTAGAACCTGTTTGCGTTTCTCATCTCCTCTTCCATGGACATCATGAATCCCAAGCCAAGCTTCATAATCTTTCAAGTCTTTGTTTCTAAGTGAGAAATTAAAATGCAAAATGTAATTTAAAATTATGTAATATTATTCAGATTTATTGTTATTTTAGCTTATATAAATTTAGGTTATTTCAGGGCAGATAAATAACCTAAATTTGAAATATGATTCAAAGTATAATAAAGAGGAACACATTTGTTATGGGAGACTATGCATGCATATAAGCAGAAAGAGCTTTTAAATTGCTGAAATTCTAAATGTCTATTTTTTAAAAATTTGATTATGCTTGAAAGATTCTCAAAGTACCTTACAAAAATTATAATTCTACTGCAAATTTTCCTTTTTTATCTCAGCTGTGTATATGCTTGGTTTGTTAATGGAGGTTGAAGATTTATACTAACAAATTCAAAGTGACCTTGATGAGAATCAGGAAATAAGCTTAGAAATGCTGCCTCCTTATCTTTTTGTAAGGCTAATTTTCATTGACAATTATTCCCAGTCTGTTTCTGAGGTGGGCTCTACATAAGAAAAGAGAAGTGAGGATGGAGAGAATTGCGTTGATAATTCAGAAAAAGAATTTCTATGTAGTAATACAGAGTGCAAGTAGGAGGTTCGGGTAAAAATTACTTACATAATTCTGGCAAATTTTTCCCCCAAATGAGAGTAATGCCAATTGTGGAAAGAGGTGGACAGAAGTAGTACCCAATAAGTAAATATCAATTAAGTCAAAGTAAGTTTTGTAAGCTAAATCTAAAAAAAGAAATTTATTTGTTCACCCCATATTGCTGAATCTAGTTATATGAATACACATTCTAAGCCTAAAAGCTAAGTGGGAGCCATACATATCTTCAAATGCTCAAAACAAATATTGGTTTCAGAAACACTTTACCGAGCAGGGAAACATTGTCTTGCAGTAAGAATCCAACTTTCCTTTATCAATGATCCTCCGCAGATATGTTTATTTCTATGAGAAAGAGGAAAAAAAACAAGTAACATCTGTGCAGAAAGCATGCCTGCTAATTACTGCAAAATCTATGGCTCCATTTGTTAAAAATAAATGCATTTGAAAGGAAAATGTAGAAATTAACCCAACTAGAATAAAATGAGTAGTTCTTTTAATGAGAAGGATAGTATTTAGTGATTGTAGCATTAGCACTTTTTTTAATAATGTGATTACAATTTTATGAATTCAACTTTATTTTTGTGTAAGGAACCCTGTCACTACATAACAACATCCATTCTCAGCACACATGTTCACATGTGTGTGTGTCTATCCTTGTGAGAGAGAGTATGTGCCATAAATACAGGATAATTAGAATAAATAATCACAAAAGAACAACAAAGCAATGTAGATCTATTTTAAATTCAGTGTTTGATATGAAAAATGAAATTTGGGTTTTTATTAAACCCTGAAAACTATCTGGTGGTAGTAATGTATAAAATTGTACATTATTGTCTTCTTCTTTCATTACCATTATATAATTCTAATATGTTAACTTAGAATACAACTGTTTGAGCAAATTTATTAGTTCAGCTTAAGACTAGCAATATAATATTTCATTTGTAAAATTTCAACCATTGTGCAGGACGTATCATCTAGGAAATTATAAAATAGTTATAGAGAATAATAAATACTAGTACATTTATTTGATGATATCCAAAATCTGTAAATCTATTATGTTTTGGCCAAGAAATGGAAAAAGTACAACTTTTCACAACTTACATTTCCAAAGAGTACAGATGTTCAGAGCTTCAGAAGGCAAGAGAAGAAGATTCCCAGGCTAAGACCACAGTTATTTACGGCCTGTGCCACACAGGATGTTCAGAGCATATATCGAGTTTGAATTTCTATTTCTCTCAGTACATGTTTTGAAAGAATAACTAAACAGCTGTTGTTACTAAGAACTTGGATTTAAAATGAAAAATATTTTTTTCTAAAAGTTTATAGTTTCTGATCTGATGAAAAACCGTTTCATTTGCTTCTCCAGGGATGGAGGCTTTCAAAGAAGTGTCCTTGTACATTCTCCTATTGGCAATAATAAACTCAGAAGTATAAGCCTCTTCTTTTTTCTGGAGTTATAAGATTTGCAAAAAATCAATAATTAATTCAGAGATGTGGATTCCTGGAACATTTTCTATAATAAATAAAATGAAACATTCCCTCCAAATTTTATAGCCTTCATTAAAGCTTTGTATTGCACAATGAGCTTTAATATTCTGGTGAGTCTCACAATTATATTTCAGAGCTACACACCTAGGACAGCTATGCTACAATTATTGACATAAACATTTATAAAAGTTGATGAGTTACTCCTTAAAGAAGGACATCCTAAAAGAGAACTTTAGGCTATCTTCTACCTAGTATTTAAAGTAACATATATATCAAAGGATATAAACTCCATGCTTCCTAAGAATTGGCTTAGTCATAAAAACCCTCAGTTTCAAGTTGTCTCTATTCTACTTTAATGCTACTGTGATTTGATTCTGGTAAAAGATACCCTTTCTTTCTCTATTCTAGGAGGCTAGAGGTAAAGGAACAGGGAGGGGTTCCAAAAAGAGGAGATATTCAAGTTGGTATGTGAAGAATGAGAAGGATTTTCCAGGCATAAAATATGGAAGAAGAAAGCTGCAACATGCAGTGGCAACAACAGCATAAAGGCTTGGAAAGAGAAACATGGGTTGTTGAAAACAAAGGAAAATGTGGCAAGAATTAAGGTGGATTTTAGGGTATGTTGCATGAAGAGGTTCCGATAGAGATAAATATAGACAAAGATATTTTAATATTCTCATTACCATATGGTATATATATATGTAGTGTATAGAAAATTGCAACATCAGATTTTAAGTTAATTCCTATTTTTAATATTTAATTCTCATAACATAATTACTAAGCTTAATTTTTGTATAACAGCATATTTTGCAAAAAAGAAAACGTCATTGATTCTAAAGAGCATAGAGAGAGATTTGTCAAGAATTTTTTATCCACACTGAATATTATAATAGCAAGACTATTCCACTATCAATATAGTTTGTTAATTTTTTTCTTAATGATAAAATATTCTAGAATTTAAAATTATTACCATTTTTCACTAGGACAACAATGAAAAAGTCAGAAGTTAAAAACAAAATTTCTGATGCAATCATGCATAGGCTTATAGAAAATAAAATCATAATATCCTGGATTGGGAAATTAATAACATATATATTACAGCTACTATGGTAATATAAAAGTATAAGTAGGTTCTCTGCGTTGTCTTTTGCTTAATCAGAACTGAAGTGTCACTTATAATCAGGGACAATGTCAACACATATGGGACCTTTGTGAACATTTAAAAAGGCGCTTATCTGGAGGCATAAATGGGAAAATCCAGGGCTCTTTGGCAAGCATTATGTGATCAGTCCTCTCTTGTGCCACTTTCAGATGGGTGCCCGTGTGGACAGTACAATCTGCATGATTACACAGCCCCATACTGCTGGGAAATGACTTTTGCAAAATAATCCAAAGACATGTGATTTGTGTCTATTAATAATTACCTGTATTTCAAACTAACCATCCATCCCACATTTGTTCGTGTTGGAATTCCATTTACAACTCGCAATTGTTTTGTTTTGGCGCAAGATATTACAGGATCTAAAAAGAGGACCAAACATAACATTTTGACAAAACATTTTGAAATAATCAGTGCCTCTAAGCTTTCTTAAATGCAATGGTAACTAGACAAATGTAACTGATATAATTGTGTCAGAAGAAGACTTTGGGGGACAAAAAAAGATAAGTATTATGGCTGGAGGCCCCAAAACTCAGGCCCCAAATGTTTTCTATCCTCATCTAAGTAGACAGAAAAACTAACCAACTCAACGTCAAACAGTATTGTCAGGATAGCGAGAGGGCTTTGCTCTCCTAGCACTAATAAATTCTTCAGGTCTAACACTAATTGTATTTTCCTCACCTCCTCAACATAAAATGGAACAATGTTACTTATACTGATTTTTTCTAAATGCCAATGGAAATCAATAACCTGAGTGAAAAAAAAAACCAAACTATATTTAGTTTTTTACTTCTGAATTTGTACAGTAAGAATAGAGAGACATTTTGAACTATGTTACTAACATTAAATTTATTGAAATTGTATCCAAATTACATAATTATGATGTCCAAATCATTATATTTAAATGACATAATACAGAATTCTTTGGAGTAAACTTTTTCCTGACCCTCCTCTGTGTTTCTTGCCTTATCCTTTCTACTCTTGTCCATGGTCTAAAATAGATTTCCATTTGCTTCTTCATCCTGGGGCACAGCAGGTAGTCTCTTAAATCAAAAACCTTGAGTAATTTCCCTCAGCGCAAGAAATATGTGAAAATCAAAAACAAGCAGCTCCCAACAGATTTTCTCAAACTGAGGATTAACTTAACCTCTCATATTGTGTCATCTCTTGCCTGGTAGAGAAGGCAAAGAGCTTTAGACAGAGATGCTGCATAACTTTCCAACTTTCTGGTTTCACTCTTTCTAACTCTAGCATCCTGATTTAATATAAAGGATAAAGTCCATTATATATATTTTGTCTCAAATTAAAAGTAATATAAATGCTCTTTTCAAAGTGAAATATAACATCTTACATTTTCTGATAGAGAACTGAATTTCGATATTCAGTCTGCAGTTGCCTTTGTAACTCCTGTACACATGCACATAGAAAAAATTTTCTTAAAGATAAAAACAGATTAACTTGTTTTTATGACAGAAGTTAATGTGGTGATAAAATATTCTTCTGTGAAGAAACAATGACATCTTTTCTGACTCATAGAGGCTGAAATGCACCATATATTTTGAAAGATTACTTACGGTCTAAATTGACTATTGTAGGTGTGGTATCACCTTCACCTGTAAAAATAAATATATGCAATATACATAATTCATACATACACATTTCTGTTATATAGCACCAAAGCTATATATTGAAATCTATCCATGAATTTGATAATTTACTAAAATTCTTGACATTTTATTCAAAGATAAAATATAATAATTCTCATTTGAGTAATTGTGTATCACTTTTACTGAACAATATTGAAATTACATGCCTTCTAGTGGTGGAGGATGTGAGGAAAGCTCTGTTTCATGACTGTTGAGGTTCTCAGGTGTATGGTTTAATGAGTGTTGGCAGCTTGAATTACACTGCTGGCATCAGGGAGCTGCCTCATTCTACCAAGCTGCCCAATACTGCACACAAGGAACATTTCACTGAATAAGAATAATGTTTTATTATGGTTTGCTTGGGCCATTCATATAGATAGACTTTTTTCCTGTAATTTGGCCCATTTATATTTTTTCTGAAAATTACTTTTATTTTTTTATATGGTTGAGGGTAACTGAAACTTCATATGCTTCAGAAAACTCTTCAAGAATTCTAGAAGATTGAAATCAACATTACTAATGGACAAAGAGGGATAAAAAAATATAATTATGTTTTGTTAGAATACTTCAAAGATTGATTTTTCCAGATGGTACCAAACAGAAAAAGTATGGAAAAAAAAGAACACTGGAAACTGCAAATGAACTCTATAACTAAATCCTCATAACTTACTCCTTTTTCATAACCTCCCTACTGGAGTTTTATTGTTACAAAGAGAAAGACTTGGAAGATGCTAGGATTTGAAAATACTTATGTAATAATGAATGAGGTACAAGACATTTCCCGGAGTTTAAGGTCTGACTGTTCAGAATTGATGGCATCGAGTTTAGTCAGGCACTATTTGGACCCCGCTGGTTTTTAATCCCTGGAAATACCCTGAGCTCAAATAAACCAGCAACAAAACAGTAATGGCATATGGATTCCTTTGTAACAGATGCAAATTTGATTGTTATTTATAGTGAATCTCAGGAGAATTAATGCATGTTAAAAGGTTTTTATTTATGTTCATTTTCCAGATATAGCCATTTTAAATGAATAAGGGTAAAGGCGAACGCATAAATTTCGTCATTTCTCTTTCCCTTTAGCTTATCCTGGCGAGGATTTTGTCTTAGCTGAGGTCAGTGTTTTAGTTCATAGTACAAATTAGGATTGAGGCTGACTATGGTCATTAAAACATCAAGAATATTGGTTTTTCCACTCAAGTCAATTACTTGAAAATTCTAAAATAAAAAACTAAAAATTTATTCCTTATGTTGTTGTGATGAGAAAGACTAGACTATTCATTCTATCCTTAATTGCACATCAAGTTCATAATTCTAAGTATCAAGTTAATAGGTCAACAGAGTATTTAGTTCAGTATTTGTACCTTACTAAAATATTTAAAGTTTTGAAAATTTGTAGATATTGTAAATTTGGGGTTTTAATAATTGACAGTTATATTCATTATAAGTTACATTTATGCTTCCCTGTAAGCAAATATGTCTCACACTTTCGAATAAGCTGAAATACCACTTAAAATCAGATTTCTGGAGATTCTGGGGTGGTGGTTAGATTATGAATTTTGAAAAAGAATTTCAAGTTCTTCTTTTGCACACTTTGAGCAAAACTTTGAGAAACTGCCTTCTAGGTCTTTTCCATTTTATCATCAAGTACTGTTCTCACTTCTCTTTTACTTTTCCCCCACTATCTCCACACCAATATTCAAATCTGAAAAAATATATTTGATACAAATCTTATGTGATAAAAATCTTGATTTTGTATTGATTTAACTTAAATTTGAAGAAGGAAAATGTGTTAATGATCAAAGTTCTACTTATGGAAGAGTAGGCAAATGTGTGTGTGTTTATATGGCCTCAGGACCAAATATGAGCTCTTACTGAAAACATAGAGAAACCTTTCTTTTAGAAAATTCTTAAAGTTTTGAGTCAAGTTCAAAACTCTATGAACATCACATATTTTTCCAGGCAGAAAGCTATGTTCCCAACCTCTTTATATATTTCAGTATTAACATGTATTTGTTAAATGATTATATTTGCAATTATTTACATAAATGTCTCCTCTCTATGCTGAAAATTATTTGAGGGTAAGAAACATTGTTTATATTGTTGTAGACCTAGCATGTTATATACAGATTTGCACACAATAGCAGCTCAATTTAAAATTGTTAATCAATGAATAAATAAATACAAACTGAGATGGAAGTAACTTGCTCAAGGCACTTATACCAATAGAGCTAGAATTTTTACCCAGGAGGTCAGAGTTGAAGCTTGTAACCCCTACACTCTCAGTAGTTAATACTAAAGATTTTTCTATGACATACTGAATGTGTATGTGTATAAACAAATATATATGCATTTCTACAGTTTTATTTTTGTATATTTGATAATCTTAAAAATATGTTAAATATTATTTTGTAAGCAATTTTTAAAAAGGAATAAAAACCTTTACATATTTTGTAATACAAATGTATAATGTGAAAATGATTTATACAGTCTTTGCAGTTAAATAAATAAGAACTCAAATCTTCTAAAGATAAATTTTATTAGCCTTTCAGCACGAAGAAGTAAATAAATCCTGGATGCAAATATTAGTTAGAAAAATGACAGTGTAAAAATATTTAATGAAATTAATGTTCAGAATACACTGAAATAAAAATGAATTAGGGGCCAGTCCCATGGCTGAGTGCTTGGAGTTCTGCTTTGGCAGCCTGGGTTTGAGGGTTCGGATCCAGGTGTGGATCTATTCCACTCATCAACCATGCTGTGGAGGCATCCCACATACAAAATGGAGGAAGACTGGCACATGTTATCTCAGGGCTAATCTTCCTCAAGTAAAAAAAAAAAAAAAAAGAGGAAGATTGGCAACAGATGTTAATTCAGGGTGAACCTTCCTCACCAAAAAAAAAAAAAAGTTATCTGCAATAGCCTTTAATCAAATGCTAGCAACACCCTGAAGTCTTTCAATAGCACATTACTAACTTTTAGTTTAAAAATGTTTGAAAATATATTTTGAAAACTTTTAAATTATTATATCTTGTGTCAGTTAAGTTTATAAACCAAATCACAGTTCCCTGAGATTCTACAGAAGCATTTTACTCTCAATTTTATCTATGTGCTAAAACTAAGCTTCTGTGATTTTTACAAATCTGGAATTCTGTAGGGTAAGCAAAAGAACATGTTTCAGAAGCCAGATCATTGACTTTCTTGCTTCTTCCTAGATCATTCGATATTCTATTAGCCTCCATTATGCTTAAACATAAAGACTTTACAAAAGGTACTGTGAGGTAAAACTAATAGTTAGAAAATATAATCATTTAACCAACTAAAAATTTTTGTCTGTGCCAGAGAGGTACATTTGCTTGTTTGTTTTAGTGTTAAAACTTGAAAGGCATCTTCTGTAGAAGAACATTTTGAGGATGTATGCAAACGTACGCTAACATAGAAAAACTAGGACATTAGGAAAATACTAATTAATTTGAAAGGCTATGATTATAGTCGATGAAATAAAATATAATAATATGAAATACTATTTCTTGGCAAACATATAGGATGTTATATTATTACAGAGAATTTCTTTATTAAAAATAGGTTGAGAAGTTTCAAGTCTTAACTATAGACATACTTGATTAACATCATATTTAAGGAGTTTGCCAGTTTGCCTTTTTAGGCTAAAATTTCATGAAACATGACTTGTGTTTTCACTTAAAGTGAGAAATTATCTCTTGATTTAACAAACTATGGAAAAATATAGACATGTTTGTATTACAGGTTTTAAAGCAAACATTTTAAAATTTTAAAACATTTAAAATCATTTAAAATTATTTTAAAATAGAAAATAATTTCTTCAATTAATCTCTCTTTTTAAAGTGGTTATTTTTGCTGCTGTTTTCAAGGTGTTTGCTACTGGCTTGTCTCACAAGAAAATAATTCTTAAAATTCTTATTGTCCTTTTTAAAAGTGTGTCCTTTTTAACAAGAAGGTAGCGTAACATAATGTTTAAAGACGTTTGCTGTAAACATAGAGCTATGAGATATATAGTATAGTAAAATAGTCTCTTGCTGCTGACATGGCTTTGTAATGAGGTTTTTTCACTCAATAACATTGAGGATCTTTTCCGGTCTCCATATATATTGCTCTACATCAATGGTTCTCAATGGGGATGATTTTGCCCCCCCCAGGGGATATTTGGCAATGTCTGGAGATACTTTTGATTGTTGTGACTGAAGGGAGGGTAGGTGCTGTTGACATCTAGTGGGTAGAGGTCAGGGACACTACTAAACATCATCTGATGCACAGGACAGCCTCCCACAACAAAGATTTATCCAGCACAAAATGTCAGTAGTGCCAAGGTTGAAAAATCCTCATACATTTCCCCAAACTGACTTCCAGACAGACTTTCTAATTCACAATGTAGCACAGAATTGAGAAAGCCTGACTACCCAGGCCCTCACTAATACTGGAGATTAACAATCATTTTCTTATTTTTCAGCCTGATGGGTGGAAATGGTTTCTTATGCTTTTATAATTTTATTTTTTCTTACTACGTTTTAATAGCTTTTGTTTATTAGTTATATTTATTCTTGAAGATTCATTTTCTTAATTATTCTCCTGAGTTATCTCATCTTTTTCTTCTTGATATATAAGAGTTCTTTTATATAAAGTATATCACACGTATATATTTTACATATATCTTTTACTTCACACCCTAATACTCTTTTAATGAAATCATCTTAGGCTTAGAGAAGTGAATAAAATGCTCCAAGCTTCTTAGTCTTGGGGTAAAGAACTGAGAATAACATGGAAGCACCACTATCTCAGGTCTGTTCATGGGTCTGTTAGTGGGCCAGGACTTTGCTGAGAGCTCTGCTACATTCAGAGGCTGAACAGGTGTTACTGCAGGTAGTGGGGTCTTTCTAGCCCAGCCATATTAGAACCGTGGCCATTTATTGCTTCTGGGGTCCAAATGAAAATTTTCTAATTGAGGAAAACCTTCTTTAAAAGGTCAGCAAAATGTCTCCTTGTCCAGAGGAGAGATGAAAAAAACTGTGTGTATGTGTTGCTGTCTGGAGTGCATCTTCATTTGGGGATCACCTCCAGCCCTTGCTATATTATTTCCATCTGTGATTAAGGTATCACTTTGAGGAGACAAAGTATATTTAAAATATATCGCCTGAAAAAGATTACTGAATGTACTTACAACGAGAAATAGGGCAATAATCCCAAGGAATGAGAGGATGCCCTGTGTAACACCAGGGACCATGAGCATCATCATCAGGATTCCGGCAGTAATTCTTATTCAGCTTACTAGCGTCTGGTTCCCAGAAGATGTGCCTGCAGAAGCAACAAACTCTGAACATCACAAGATGCTCATTTTGTCTAAGAGGAACAAAAGGTCACCAAGAAGATATAATCTTAGCACATAATTTTCATTATAGATACAACACAAGTTTCTATTTGGTGTGAATTTGGCTTATTTTGTTTGAGATTTATTTTGTTGTTGTTCTTACAGGTTGGAAGCATGGTCTCTAACTCAAGACTATGGGACAGGGCTGCATAATTAGCATAGATAAAATGATGAAAGATTTTGTGGCTTTGCTTCACTTTAATAATTACAGTGGCAAGGTAACAATACCTCTGTGCATAGAAATGGAGACACATTGCCAAAAAAAGAGCAGATGACAAAGGAGATCAAGGTTATAAAATGCATAGAAAATACAAGCTACTGCAAAAGTATTTTTTTCATGTTTTAGAAATATATGAATCATCACTAGCAACATCACCATGACAAAGTAAAGAGAGAAACACTGAAAATTGATAATAATGTGCTAATTAATTAAATTCTAAAATTTCACTGGTCATATAGTTGCAAAATATGATTTTTTGACAAATAACTGAGTAACACTTCAGTCTTTCTCATTCTACATCTTAACTAAATTTATTACAAAAGAAAAGCAAAAATACTGTGCATTATTCTTGCCCACTCATACCGTGTCCTCTCATATAACTTCAATATTTATATTTACCTCAAGAAGATTAATGAAGTTAAATTCCACAAAGCTAACCTGAGCAAGCCAAAGAAAACTTACATCTAACTGAATTTGTTTTGGATTATTAATTACTACCATACTCAAATTTAATTAATGTGTCATTAAAAATAATTGAGAAGAGCTTGGACATGGAAACTTAAGGTATCTTTGCAAACTCAGGTTCATTTTCTGGACAGGAAACACATGTGGCACTGTAGTCCTATGTGCCAGATTTTATTATATGTGATTTGCGTATACTAAAATCTTAGACCAGCCGAATGAGACAGCCTTTTTGATTATGCTATTTTATATTTGAGGAAACTGAAATTCACAGAGGACAATTACTTTGTCTAAGGTCACATGGCTTGTAAGCAGTAGAACAGGAGTTTAAACACATGGCTCTTTCCAGAGTCAGTGCTCGGAACCACCGTGCTGCGTTACGTCCTCACTCGGTCACAGTTTGTTCTTAAACCAAAATGCTGCTATTCAACTTCATCATTCATCAATTTACTGCAAATTGTCTCCAAATGACTTTTAACTCTTTCCAAAGTTAAACCTAAACTCAATGAATTAACTGTTATAACCATTGTGGCCCCTGGTTAAATATGTCACATATTTCCAGCAATATGCTGGTAAAAGGGTAACAACTGGCATTTTGAGGTGTGCTTGGGGTGAGTCTTTGTTACCCTTGCTGATTTCTGTGGTGTAAATACTTCCACCATAAACTACCATTTCCAATGTGAAATCACTGAAGGCAGAGTTGGTACAACTGTATCTCCAAAGTCTGTGAGAGCTAGAGCCAATCCATGAGGTTTCTAAAAATTCCTTCAAAAATATCAGTGTTGAAATCAGCATTTAATATTAATCATGCCAATTCCTGCTTTAATGAATCCCTTTAATGCTTGGGATAAAATCTAAACTTCTTAACACAGCTTACAGGGCTTTACATGGTCTTGCCACTGAAGAATTCCTTCTCTGTGGACATTGACCAAATTACGCTATGTTTCAACCTTACCAAAATTATTTCTGACTTTTAAACACTTCAGTCTTTGGGCTTTTGGACAAGCTATTGCTTCTGCCTGATGTACTCTTTCTCCTACACTTCCTCTGATCAACTACTACTTATCGCATATGTCCCAGCTAGTGCCCCTTCCTCTAGGAAGCCTTCTTGACCGCCTAAGTCTGGGTTGCACTTCTTTGCATTCCCATAGCACAAAATATGCTATTTTTCATGGTTTTTATATTATGGTATTGGCATTTTCTGTTTTCTGCTATTCCAGAGTGTGAGATACATGAGGGAAGAATTCTGCTTTTCTTTGCAGCCCTAGAGCTACATTGTCTAATACAGTAGCTACTAGCCACATAGGGCTACTGAGAAATTGGTGTGTGGCTAGTCCAAATCGAGAGGTGCTATAATTGTAAATATACACCCGATTTTGAAGATTTAATATGAAAAAATGTAAAATATCTTATTAATAATTTTCATGTTTATAATATGTATTGAAATGAAAAAGCTTTAGATATGTTGGATTAATAAAAATATATTACTAAAAATAATTTTGCCTGTTTATTTTTACTTCTTTAAATGTGGCTGTTAAAAAACTTAAAAGTACATGGGTGGCTTATGTGAGTGATTGCATCTTTATGTTAGAGAGCACTGCTTTATAACTATCACTATTTGCATTGAAGCAAATTAATTGAAACAATATCATCCACTAGTGAGTATATTTTAGAAGAGGATAAAGCTTTAAAGTTAAAGGAGGACTGGAGGCAAAGTGACTAAACGTCTCTGATCCCTTAAATTCTTATTCACACATACAGAAATATCTTTATAAGATTGTGACGGACCAATGAAGTAACAGCTCATGTAAAGCAACCATGTTGTAGGCATTTGATCAAATGACACTAATTTTTTTTCTTTTATTCTAGTGCATATATTCTGGGGTATTTATTAAAAATCTGTTTTATGTCACAACTATATCTCATACTTCTTTTGTAATTTCAAACATATGAGCAATATTGCTAAAGTGGAAGATAACTTCTTTTCTCTAAATGTATCCAATGCCAAAATATCTAATTCCCTGAAATATATGGATTTTGAGTTACATATACATTTAATTATAGAAAAGTTTTATGTGTCAAAATAAAGCTATACAATGGAAATCTCTCTCTTTAAATTTTTAGTAGTAAAGTGAATATGTAAAGTATGTGTATATATGAAAATGATCACACTGATTTTTCATGAACTGTTATAAATAATTCATTAATTATGAGAACATAATCATATAATGTACTATTTGAAAAACTAGATTTGCCACTTAATTTTACATTGTCTTATCAAGTTCATGTAATTGTTTTCTTAATATGACCATATCCTCCTTAAAGGTGGAGCCAAAATGTATGCCTACTTTTTGTTAATGTTCCCAATGGCACCTATCACAGAGCAGAACACATAGTAAACACTCAATAAATATGTGATGGATTGAATTGCTTATTTAAAAATTTGCTAAATAGAAAGAAAATGTTAATTGACTTGTACAGAATATTCAATCTAATGTTTTTATTAGATTACTATGATATATAAAAGAATAGAAAGAAATAGCAATGTACATATCTGAATATACCTATCTGCTATCACTACATAATACATATTGAAAGAAATGTACACACCTGTGTAAGTCCTCCATGTTCTTGTCCCACATTGAACATGTTAGTCCCGATCGTGTTTTGGATAAATTGCCCATGTAATTTTTGCCATTCCCACGATAACAGTCTAAACATAAAACATGTAGAAAGAAGACTAATGAAGCATAGAATGAAAATTTTTTACAAGTATATGAATTCATGAAAATCAACATAAAATTAAAACCAAGCACTCTGAAATCTGTACCAATAAAAGAGATTTAAATATCTCAGATTAAAGTATTTTTATTTTTAGCCAAATTTCCTCTTCATTAAAGTGAGAGTTCATGTATCAAATTACAAATTTAAAAAAATCAAAGAAAAAATGAAATGAGTGGCTCATAGGGACACTAAAAAATTGAGAATTTTTAGAATGACATACATATTTCCCAACATTTTCTTCTGAAAAATTTTACTCCACAGAAAATTCACAGGAATGATAAAATGAACACTCATATACCCATCACGTTTGTCGTGTTCTGATTTTTGTCTTTTACGAGACACACATTCTGAGTCACTCAAGCCAGCTGTTTTGCAAATGCTATCTCATTTCATTTCATCTGATTATTTTTCTCATGAATAAAATCAAGTTAAAGACAGGAATATTGCATAGGTGACATTTTACCCTCTTCAGACCATTATATCATGTGACACGTGACGTCAGTTTATTCCATTATTGGTGGCGAGTTTGATAACTTGGTTAAGTGGTACGAAGCAAAATCTTGTCTTTGTATAAATGACAACGAAAACATTGTTGGGGATTTGAGACTAAGTAAACATCTTATTGCCAAACAAATTTTCACAAAATGGCTTAGCCATACTTTGATTAATTGTACATGAATCAGTTATTACTATTCTGGTTTTAAAATAGTTATTTTTCGATTTCTTTATCTATTAGTTGTCATTCTTCTGTAAATGACAGTTTTTCCTTCTCCCTTACTCCTTCCGTTTAGGCATTATCGCTACTAGTAGTAGTGGTAGCAGTGGTAGCAGTAGTAATACCAGTGCTAATAGTAACAGTACTAGTATAAATATGGACTCATGGATTCTCTTTTTATTCATCGTTATATGTAATCTATTCCTGTTCATTTTGATGCTCAAATCATTCCAAATTTAACCAATGGAAGCCACTTTAAATTGGCTCCTGTGTCTTTTGACATGTCCCACTTTTTTTCAGTTGGGCAATTTGTATTCTATTAAACATTGATAAAAGTGTCCATAGTCTTAAATTTTTTTTTGAGGAAGATTAGCTAACTTTTCAAAATCACATAAAGAAGTCAAGTTCTTCCAAATATGTAAATTGTAGTTCTACATTTGAAAAGAAACACCATTCCATATCTTGAAACAATACCACATATTTAAAAAGTGACTATCTATTAAACATTCCTAATTTTTAAATGAATAAAACCCGATTTGACTATAAAATATTATCTACCAATGTACATTAACATTAAGATTATTCTCTGTTTTAAACTTGGTAAACCATGGTATATTATCATTGGTTTTAAGTATGCTACGTGGTTATAATAAATAATAGGTACAAGTCCCAATAAAAATTTTAAAGGAGTAACAATTTGTTCAGGAATCAGTTAACATAGTGAAAAAGAAATAAAATAAGTATATCCAATAGTTATGTTTTTGTATCCATGGATCACATTTTGCAATAACACTATAAGAAATTTAAGCTTAAATATAAAAACTAAAATAGGATTTGATACAAATAATATAGCAGTCATTACTGTATACAATAAATTTTTTTTCAGAAATCATACACTTGCAAAATCTAATACTTGAACCTATGCAGAATATACCAAATAAAACATTTTCCTCTAGCAGTGCTTTTTTTTTTTTTTTTTTTTTTTGAATTAGGAAAGATTAAACTGTTAGGTAGTAAATTCTTTAGATAGGCTCTTACTGAAGAAAGCAATTGTGCAATGCAGCTTATTGGTACTGCTTTTTTATACATCTTCATTTTTTACATCTATGTTTTCTGTGTTGGAGGAAGAGATCATCCTCACCACTACCACCTTTTATTTGAATATGGGCTATGAGCTAGCTTTTTTCCCCCAGTAAACTTTTTATTTTAGAATAGTTTTCAATTTACAGAAAAGTTGTAAATTGGTACAGATTACCAACACACAATTTCCCCTACTTCTAGCATCTTACATTAGTCTTATAGATTTTTCACAACTATTGAACCATACGGATGCATTATTATTAACTGAAGACCATATTTTGTTTACATATTCTTAGTTTTTACCTAGTACCTTTTCTCTGTGTGTTCTGGGATCCCACACGATACCATATTACATTTAGTTGTCATGTCTTCTAAGGCTCTTCCAGATGTGACAGTTTCTCAGACTTTCTGTTTTGATGACCTCGACAGTTTTGAGAATTGGTTAAGTATTCTGTAAAACGTCCACCAATTGAGTTTGTCTGATGTTTTTCTCATGAATAGATTTGGGTTATGGGTTTTTAACGGGGTGACAAGAGTTTCTGAGCGCTTCTTAACTTGCTGGCAAAAAATATTCCAGCTTCATCTTGTATTTTTCTTCTCCCAGGCCTGGAACCATCAATTTCTCCAAGGAGCCCTTATTTATTTTAGCGATAAAAAGTCAGTAGCAGATAGAAGTGGGTGCCAGGGGGCTCATTGCTATTTGGTACCATCGTTTCCAGTCTTTTTCATTTGATAGAACTGAGCAATGTTTGTGTGTGTGTGTCTGTGTGTGTGTGTTTTCAGAGTAACCATTGATTCCTCTAACTGCAATCCACCACCGCAGAGTTCTTCCTTTCCTCCATTTCATTTGTGTATTTCCTTTCTCCCACAGTGAGAACTCTGATTCTGGGTAACAGCAATATGTTTGCTCGTTTTCTTAATTCTACAATGCACATGAAATAATTTCAAAGCTGCTACATCCTAATACTAACAACAAACGTACACTTTAAAGTTTGAAATGTGTTTACAGTTATTTCACTTTACATATACCTAATGAGGTTATATGCAGTCAGAAAATTGTGCCCAAAAGTTATCTGGATTTTTTTTTCCTTCTCTGTAGTAATGGTATCCATTTGATATACAGATAGGCAGGCACATTTCTATGTTTCCTTCTATTATTTTTGAGGTTACTTTTTGAATATTTAAAATATTAATATCAGTTAATGGTCAAAACTATATGAAAACGTGTACTCAGAGAATTCTCATTTTCCCTTCTGCCTCCGTGTTTATATTTGTACCCACTACCCACCATTACAGGTAACTGATTTAATTAGTTTCCTGTTTATGGCTTCTGTGTGTTCTCTTCTCTTTATTTTTAGCAAAACTAAGCCCATATGTGTATACACACACACACACACACAAATATATAATACAAATATGCAAATCGTTTGTATATATAGTCTATATATGTATTATTGTATCCCATTCTTTTTTACTTGTAGTAAATCTCTTTATTCATTACTAATGGAATACCAAATACGTACTTTAGTAACTTGCTTTTTTTTAATTAATAATATACCTGAAAATCACTCCACATTAGTTCATGGAGAGTTTTATTATTCTTTTTGCAAATTCATAGTATTCAATTGTGTGTCTGTGCCAGAATACATTTGGCTTGTTTTACTATCACACAAAATGCTGCAATAAAAAACCCGTGCATGTGTTTTTGCATATTGTTAGAGCTGTATATTCAGGTAGTAAATTGTTGGGCCAAAAGGTGAATGCTATAGAATTTTATTAATTATTGTAAAATTCTGTTGCACTCGTAAGGGCAATATGTGAGAGTTCCTTTCCTCATACGGCTTTGCCAAAAGGTGGTGTTGTGAAGCTGCTGAATTTTTGCAAAAGTGTATGTGACAAATGTAGGTCTCATATTGTGAGACATCTCAATACTTAGATTTTACTTTTCTCTTATTATGTGTGAATTGAAGCATAATTTCATGTGGTTAAGAGAACTTTTACATCCTTTTTTTTTTTTAGATATCTTCCTCTTCGTGTATTTTGTCCATTCTTTAATTTTTTTGGTCTTTTATTTTTCAATTTCAGAGTTTCTATATATTAAAAATATTTTCTCTGTATTTGTCATATGCATTTCAAAGCTTATTTCCCAATTTTTCATTTGTCTTTTGAATTTAAATATAGTGAGTTTGTTTAATTTTTTTGCCAAGGTAAGTTTTTGAAGTGGTTTATAATTTTTTTTCTTTTATTACCTCTAGATTTTGAGTGTTAATTAGAAAGCATTTTGCCACATCTAAGTTACAAAGGCATTCTTCCAAGTTTACTTCTAGTATCTATGTGGTTTCCTTTTTTATGTTGAGATCTCTTATCCATTTGGAGTTTATATTCTGGAATGGTATGAGACCTGGAATTAATTTTATCGTTTATCCAAATGATTATGTTGTTTATCCATTATTATATTTTAAAAGTTCCTTTGTCACCCAGTGATATATAGCACCACATTTTTAATGTAATAAATTTCAGTAAGCAGTCCATCTCTGGACTCAGTGTTCTGAGTCCTTTTCAAGATTTTCTTTAGTATACTTACATTTTATTCTTCCAGGAGAACTTCAGAATCAATTTGTTTGATATCAAAAAAAGACTTGTTGACCTATTTATTAATATCACATTAAATATATAAATTAGCTTATGTATAATTGATGTACTTATGATGTTGAGTTCTCATATCAAGAACAAGGGATGTTTTTCTACATGTTAAAGTACACTTTTGTGGCTTTCAGGAGTTATTTAAAATTTTTATCACATAGATTTTGCACATTTCTTTCTAGTTAATTCTAAGTTTCCACCAGTTTTATTGCTATTATACATGCAGTTTTTCTCTTTAATTAGATCTTCTAACCCATATACGAATGCCACTGATATGTGTATATTAATTGTATATTCTGCTACCTTAGTGAATTTTTTTATTATTTGAATTCAGTCTTTCAAGTATATTACTACTGTATCATTTGCATAAAAAGAGACCTTTTGCTTTTTTACCCAACCAACATGCCTTTTTATCTAATTGTATAGAATACTATCTCCAATACAATGTTAAAGAGAAATAAAATGTAAAATAAAATATATTCACAATGTTAAGTAGTAAAGAAGATAGTAGGCATTCTTATTTTCTTTCTGACCTTAATAAGAATGCCTCTAATGTTTCCCCATTAAGTTAGTGGTGGTTTTATGACAGAGATACATACACACACAGATATATATATGTATGAATATATATGTATGTATATGTATATGTATGTGTATATATATATATATATATTTACACACACAATATCTGTGGGGGGAGTGTGTGTGTATGTCTATATATGTATGTGTTAAAATGTGAATATATATGTTAAGGAAATCTCTCTATACAGATATAGATATATGGATATGTGTGTCTATATATTCTATAAATTCTTATTTGAGTACTTTTGTGGGGAATAGGTGAACGTTGTCACAAGAATTTCAAAATCTGTCGAGATTTATTATATGATTGTTTTTCTAAGATCTTAGATGAATTATGTTAATGGGTTTCTAATTCTGAAACTTTTTTGTCCTTAGACTAAACTCTACCCAATCATTATGTATTATTTTCCTAATTTCTTTATTAGACTGTTCATTCAAATTTCATGTAGGATTTGTATATTAATATTCACAAATGAGATAAATCTATCTCATTCTTTTTCTGTGCTATCTTTATCATGTTTAGGTATCAATATTACAATTCCATCATAAAAATAATTTAAAATTTTGTTGTATTTGTTAAGCTACAGAGCAATTTAGGTAGGAGTGAGATTATGTGGTCTGTGAATGCATCTAAGCGTGATGTATTTTTGGTGGAATAGTTCATTAACAAATTTCTATATTTATTCTATAGGAATTATTCTAGTTAAGGTTTTTTTCTTTACCAGGATCAATTCAAATAACTTGAATTTTCCTAGTAAATCATCCATTTCATTTTCAAAATTTTTTACGTGAGGTTGTATAAAATAATCTCTTATGTTTTCTAATTTTCCTGTTTCAGTGGTTATTCCTCCCTTGATAATTATATTTTTATAATTATGTACAGTCATATGTCATTTAACAATGGGAATACGTTCTGAGAAATGCATTGTTAGGTGATTTCATTGTTGTGTGAACATCGTAGAATGCACTTACACAAATCCAGATGCCATAGCCTACACCACACCTTGGCTATATGATGCTGATCTTATCAGACCAAGGTCATTTATGCGGTCCATCCTTGACTGAAATGTCTTTATGCAGCACATGACTATAAATAAAAGCATCTTAATACACACCAGAAGTTCATAAAACAATTGTTCTTATTTGCTTTTATCACTCACAAATTATCAGTAATTGTTTCAGTGAACAAGACAAAGAAGATGCAGCTGGTACCAAACCTCCCTTAATCATTGATTTCAACTTTATTTCCAACTGACCTTTAAAATCTGCCAGAGAACAGTGAAAGTGACTGAAAAGGGACTCATCCCCTCTTCTCTCTACAACTGTTTTCAGAGTCGCTCATGAAAAATGTCACTAAGGAAAAAGTTAAAGGATGGAAGAAGTATGTATAAGGCAATAAATCTACGAAATGGAGCTTTAAATTTGGCTTGGACTTTTTAGGATAATTTAGGACTGACCATGACCATGACCATCATAATTAAATTTATGTGAAAGATTATGATTATTTAAAAATCATAACTCCCATTTCATTATATACCAATGAATGCCCAGAGCCCAACATTATTATTAATCTTTGACAAATGATTTCTTTTTAAAACCTATTTCAATCTTAATTTTCTCTACAACTGCTCCCTGAAACAATTAACTTCAATGGCGTCTATGTTCCCAAGTACAACGGTGATTGATCCCAAGCCTCACTGCTACCCATCACCTCCACTAGTAATACTGGGGTCCACATCACTCTCATCTCTTGCCTGAATTACTGAAACAATCACTCAATTGATTCCCCTGTTTTGGCCCTTCTTAAAAGTTCTGGCTACTTTCCATAAGGCAGCCAGAGTTGTCCAGTTAAAACTTAAGTCAGACAGATTGTTAAATTTCCCTTCACAGAACCCTACAACAGAGCACTTTCTCTTTCAGAATAAAGGTATAAATCCTGCCAATTCCTCTAAGACCCATGCAAAGTTAGCCCAACTACTCTCTAACTTCTCTTGCTACTCTGTCTGGCTCATTCTCTACCAGCCACAACAATGTGCTGTTTCATTCCTTTAACTTTTCAAGTACTCTCCCATCTCATGTCATTTTCATTTGCAGTTTCCTCTACCTAGAATGCTTGTTATATAATATATGAACATAGCATATGGTGCTCCCTCCCACTCCTTTCAGGTTCTCCTTACATGTTACCTTAATACGTAAGATCTTCTCAAACTATTAAAATATAAAATAGCAACCCCTCTTTTTTAACTGGGACATTTTTCTCTCTGGCATGTACCACAAACTAACTTACTATCCCCACCTCAGTTTTTTATTTTACTTCTTTTCTGTTTGCTGCAAATTAGTTCGATGAGGTAGAGAAGTTTATTTTGTTTACTGGTATATGCCAGTGCCTAGAACTGTGCCTGTCACTAGTATACACTCAAATAAATAAATAAATGTCGAGCAAATGAATATGTAAAAGAAATCCAACTTCAGACTTGACTTTGTTTGCTAACCAGCAAAACCAGTGCAGAAGAAGTAGATAATTCTGCTATAAAATGTGAACTCCCTTTAGACATTTCCTCTGAATTTAATCATGTCCACACTGCAAAATGTCAGCTATTACCTTGTCCACTTGACACGTCACATTTTGGAATTTGGGAGCAGTAGCCAACTCGGATGTTTGGATCAGCGGTAAAACACCAGGGTGACTCAGCCCCATCTGGATTTCGGCAATAATTTTCTCTTAGATCCCTATTGAGAATAAGCATGTTAATGTAAGTTGCCTGAGTTCTTACAGTGGTGAAGTCAGGACTGTTACATTTCTAGAACCCCAGAATGTATGCAAGTCTACAAAGCAGCGTCCTAAGTTTTAGATTTAGGATAGATACAACAACTTAGAATTCAGTATACACAACTGACACTGCCCACATTACTGAAATAAATGCTATTAGATGTCAATATTTTCCTTCCACAGGGCTGGCGTTCCACACAAACACTACTGCTTTGTAAAAGAGAGAAATAGTACCACTTCATTCTTCTCACTCATTCTCAAGACTTGGACTCTCAACTATACCATTTTTAAAAACTGGCCTGTTTATTATGTTTTCATGGCCCATATATAACATAGAAACGACATGTATCTCTCTTTGCAGAAGAATGGCTATTATTAACAGTCATTAACAATTCTCATTTAAAATAACAGTTCCACCTATTCAGACATTTACCACAAAAAGCACAACAGCTATTTCTTCCTTGAATTCTGTATTCCTTTGATTTATTTAATACACTGCAAGGATTTCTTTTAAATACAAAGTAGTTCTTCCTTGATTTAGAGAAGTTACCTGAAATATTTATAAACATTTCTGCAAAATTAAGGCCTAATTATGCTGTAGAATATCTCACTATAGAAGTTGCCAGTATAGTACATGTACATCCTTTCTTTCTTTTTTTTTTTTTTGATGAGGAAGATTGTCCCTGAGCTAACATTTGTGCCAATCTTCCACTATTTTGTATGTGGGATGCTGTCACAGCATGGCTTGATGAGTGGTATGTAGGTCTGCACCTGGGATCCAACCTGCAAATCCTGTGCCGCCAAAGAGGAGTGCACGAACTTAACCACTATGACACCAGGCCAGCTCTTGTACATCCTTTCTTGTACCAGTGATTTAATTAGATGTTTAGAGTTCTCAGTAAGGAAAAAGTCTACACTAATATTCTCTGTACGTAAAAAGAGTCTACCTTAATACAAGATTCACATTAAATAAAATGTAGAATTTATGGGGGCTGGCCCCGTGGCCGAGTGGTTAAGTTCGCGCACTCCGCTGCAGGCGGCCCAGTGTTTCGTTGGTTCGAGTCCTGGGCGCGGACATGGCACTGGTCATCAGACCACGCTGAGGCAGCGTCCCACATGCCACAACTAGAGGAACCCACAACGAAGAACACACAACTGTGTACCGGGGGGCTTTGGGGAGAAAAAGGAAAAAATAAAATCTTTAAAAAAAAAAAAAAATGTAGAATTTATGATTTGCTCTCCTGAAAAATGCTCTCTAATTTGAAGCAAGTGTGTACTTTCTTTTTATAGATCTGTGGCTAACAATATAACAAAATTAATATTCAATCTATTGGAAACTATATTATTTACATCGCTTAGGTCCAATCACAAGTACTACAATTTCATTAATACCCAAATTGACCATTAGGAATGAGAAATTTTTAGGAAGAAGCTTGGGTTTGGTTATAAAAATCAATAAGTAATAGTTTATCCAGTCAAAATACATCCTGATACAAACCATTATTTAAGGTTATAAGAACAGCGATTACCAATAGTTAAGACCATTGTACAGCAAGTTTTGATAGTTATAACCCATATTCAAGCCTTTAGCTTTCTTATAAAATGATAAAATTATTAATTGAAAAGTTGAAGAAAATCTTTTATTTCTTTTAACCAATTTATGCTTTAAAAATTTGTCAGTACAAAATATGTGCATTGAGTTTTACATAAAGTTTACAGAAATTTGCAGTTTTAGGTAAATAATTGCTTAGTTAAATTATTTTGAGTTGTTAACTTACGACAAGATAATTAAATGGAGATCTAAGGCTATCAAAAGTCTTAGTTTAGGCCCACTCTGTATCCAGAAGCACATTACCCTAGATTAAGCAAGAATGAGAGCCAAGATTTCCCCAAATATTTTTTCCTAATTTCTTTCCCTTAAATTGAAAAGGAATTGTTTACAATTACTAAATCAAATTAGTGACTATATGATTCATGTAGATTCATCATAGTAAGTACTGTTTAGTTATAGTGTTTTAAAAATTGTCATTTGTAAAGAGTCTCAGTACTGGGGCAAATAGTGTTTAAAACAACCAGAGACACCTTACCAGCATACCATTCTCTGCTAGAGCACAAATAGTAAATGCATCAATATTGTGAACAAAATGTTGAGTCATATTTTATCATTTTTATAACACACCTCACTTTTCTCTTTTTGATATTTATATTTGGTTATCTTGACCAAATAACTAAATTAAGAAAGGATGGCTTAAATTCCAATAACATACAATAACTAAACTTTTGATAATTTTTAATTGTGAGATGTGTGAATTAAATTTCTATAATTATTCTCTTTTTCTTACAGATGAACTTCATTGGGTATTTGCACACACACAATTTCTTACTAGACTATTACCAATCATTAGAAGTTAATGAAGGAAAAGTGTGAACGGCACTGACACCGTCTCCTTTGTCTCTCAACTATTCTTTTCTCATTTTCTTTGCTTCCTCTACTTTGATATTTATTTCGGAGTTCTGAAACACAGGGGTCAGGAATAGAGAGTGAATATCTATAAATAAAATGGTGGGAATAAATGCACAATGACTACAAATTCATTCCTATTAAATGAAAAAAATCATAACAGATGAATATGTACTATCTAAGCAAATACACTGAATTAACTAAAAAACCAAAAACAAAAAAACATAAAATATCTCCTCTCTTTAGTGGAGGGGCAATTGGTGCTCACAGTTCTCCATCTTGAAATGTTAAGCTCTCTTATTAAAAGCTAATTACATAAAGTCAATATATATTATTTATAGGTGCTATTTCAGCAAAGCCACTATGAATGGCATTTGTGTTATAAATTTCAAAAGCAATCATTTTATGTTCCTCGTAACAAGGTGGACAATTTAAAAACACATGGCTTGTGGCTCTATCTGTCCAACAAAAGTCAAGTGGTGAAAAAAAGCAGCCAAGGAGACGGCACATAATAACTATATAATTGATATTCAAGGGACGTTTCCTTGGCTGGATTCATCTAAACAATTGTTTTACCTCTCCACTTTTTAAAGCAAATCTAGAAATAATAGAAAACATTGATTTAAAATTTTTTACATAATTTTGTTTTGAGGCTGAAAACCTAGTTTACCATGTTGACTGAAACTAAGGTATGCCTCTTCTTGTAAGAGAAAACATATGCAACCTCCCCGAAAGTTAATACGAAAATTTAAGAAGGCACTAGTTTGAAACTTGCCTGGTTATCTTTACCACTAACTGGTTTATTAAATAGGCATGCAAGAACAAAGCTGTGATCGGACACCTAGAAATGTGTTACCCAAAGCACAGTACATCAGTCGTCTGATTTAGAATTACCTAAAGTGCTTGTTAAAATACATATGTGAGGTCCAAATATCAGTCCTAAGGAATCAAAATCTCTGGGTGGATGAATCTGCCTTATAAGTCCTGATTATCCCTAGGTACACTAAAGTTTAAGGATCACTAACACAGAAGTTAGTAAAAAGTAATCACTCTGCCTCATTTCCCCACAGCCTACTGAAATTTATAATATTTGCCTAATTTACTCACTTGCATTTGAAATTTTCAGGAGTTATATCATGCTGATGAGGATACTGGGAATCCCAACGCTGACATGGAATTCCATTCCAAATGGTATTGATGGTGCCCCGGTAACCTTCTCCTTGACCTTGAATGCATTCAGTTGTTTCCATAGGGATATCTGTGTCATTCATAGTACTGTGAGCTATTGGTAAAAAGAAACACAAACTTAAATAAAATCTTTCAACCTGTCATCCTCCTCTTAGAGTTCATTTGCATTTGTATCACCAAGGTTTTCTGTCACATAGGTTTTTCTAATAATTGAGAGGAATAAAAAATTCAATTTATCGTTATTACTATCTCACTCAACCTAAAGGAGTAAATTAACATGGTGGACTCAGTTGTGGCATTTCTCTGCTTATGAAATGTAATATTCTAGCTTGGCTATATCTAGATCCATTTGAAAAATCATGGTCTTAGAGTATTTAAATTTCCTGGATCTGTCTAGTCATTCATTAACATTAGATGTAAAATCTCTCTATTTATTAAGGTTTAAGTACAGCATATATATTTTTTAAAAATCACTTTACTTTCTTTAGAAATTGAAAAACATCTATGAGTAATATAGTCACTAAATAGGGAAAAATTAAAAAGCACTGTGTTATAAGTTTGGCCATAAAGAAAAAGTAAAAGAAGGAAAATTAATGTTGGTCTAGAAATCAAAGTTACAAAAAAAATTGAATTTATCATTATCTCCACTCCAATTTTTCTTTCAAACATTAAATTAGTTTATTTGAAAAATTCTTTAAAGGCATTATACTTTCATATATCACTATAACTTATATATGCCAAATACACAGTGTTTCTGAAATGACCATACAATTATTGCTAAAATTAGTTTTCTTAAATACGTATAAAGTTGGCAACGGTATTAATCATGGTTTCCCTCTAATGTGATTATATTCTAAGCTGATATATTAAATTTTTCTTTTTAATCAACTTTTGGCATTAAAAAAGCAAATCAGTTGTTCCTAGGCAGATTTATTTCTTGCTTCTTTCCTAGTGCAACTGCAATGCTTCTCATACTTCATAAAGATCATTAAAATCTCAGTAATAAAATAAAAAAAAGTACAAAATTAGATTTTTACCATAACTTAGGCTCTCTCTTTTTGTCTTTAATATTTACTTGCTTAAACAAAATATAACAAACATTCTGGAGCAACTAAAATTCATATACCTTTTCAAAAGATACATGAAAATGTTTACGGTTCAATAAAGTCAATGTAAACTTCCCAGTTACCTTTAAGTTCTTAATGGTCATTCAAGATGCCTCTGAATAAAACTCAGGTTGACACTCTCTAGAACAGTTTAAGATTTGAACAAAAGTCTTTGATTCATTCATTCTGGGATTAGATGTATCATTTCTCAAAGGAGAGGTCAGAATTAGACATGCCTTCATAGGCTAGGGATGTCTATAAAAGTGTTCCACATTTATTAGTGTAAATTCTTTTAAAATGGCTCTTAAATTTTTTTAAAATTTATTTCTTCTTTCAAATAATTACTACCTTATGTGGCTGAATGTTTCATTTTATTGAGTTCCATGAAAACTAAGTAGAGCCTAAGTTTCAAGCTATTCTAGGAAACTTTGTAAAAAAATGAAGGAAGATTAATTACTGACCATTCCAACCACTGGAATATGTTGTATATACAGGTTTTCACGAATTGACCTTTTAAAATCCTTTCTTCAGCTTATTTTAAAATGGGCTTTTATTTCTTATGTATCTTCTTAAAGGAATAGAAATGTCTCAGAAATATCTTAAATTAAAAGGAAATTCAAATGGAGATGAGAAAATGTCCAGAGATTGACCCATAAAATGGTCATTGAGAGTACATAGCCTAGAGAATTAATATATATTGGTATTGGTAATAAGTATCAATTCAGGAAGAACAAGAATTGTTGGGCTGGGAGAAATAACTTGTATAGAAAAAGTTGGTGCTGGTTAGCCAAGTGCTTTATGATTTTAATATTATCTAAAGTTTTTTGGTGAAACAGAAAATAAGATGGATTTCATAGGTCCCAAGGAACTATATTTCCTCAAAACAAATTCCACTAATCTACTATACTTCTGAAGATTTGAGTTAACTGTTAAATGATTTGAGAAGACTAAGCATGAGGGGGATATCTTTAAAGGGTTATAACTCTAAAACAGGTTAAAGGTCAAGCTTATGCTGACACATTCCATATCTAGTTATAAAACTAGGATGTGAAAGAAGACAAAAACAAATGTCTCCAGGAATTCATCAATTCATTAGCTTAACATTTTAAGAAAAAAAGTTTTGATTCTTCTACATCTTGGTCACAAGCTCCTGGGTAGCAAATTCATGTCCTTGGTCAGAACTCAGAATCCTAACAATGGGAGTAAGGTCAGAGGTAGGGCAGCCAGAGCAAAAACACTTCCACACATCTTCTCATGGTCTTCCTTGCCTGTCTTGGGTACTTCAACTCTCTTACTTTCTTAATTATTTGTGTGTGTTTTATTTTATTTGTTTATTATTAACCCATTTTTCTCAAGTATTACTCTGGCACTGTGAACATGTAACAAAAAAACCCAGTCTTGATGAGTCCCGATGTCTATCAGGGCCACCTCTGTCTCGATACAGGTCCATCACATCTCACTGAGAACAGTTTGAGGCTGAGCTCATCAGAGATTAACACACTCTGCTCTTTGGACATTAGTATGATTTGTCAGATAGCAACCTAAACAATGAAAAAAGGAATATGAAATTCAGACATGATTAGAGATTTGGCCATTATTTGATGGACTGTCTAAATGTTGAAACAGGTGCAGAGGGCTGTTTCCTCTTCTGTGTGAAGGCAGCTTCACACTATAAATCTATGCCTCGGTGGGGGTGAGAGAGTCAAACTTTATGTCTACAGTGTAAATATAAGATTAAATATCAGGTATCAATTCTAGAGTGTGTTATTAGACAAGTGCAATTGGATTTTGCAAGCAATTTTTTCATAAATATCTTTTTTAAAATGATGCTCTTGTAGAAATGACCCATGATAGTTAAAATTTGAAACAATATGTAGAGCCTTAAACTCAAAAATAATTTGAATTGCACTGCTCTTTATAAAAAGAGGTGATTATTAAAGAAATATTATCATAATTCATTAGGAAATCAACACCTGGAAAATTCAATGAGTAATTTCAAGCAACCACATGATCAACAGAAAATATTAAGAGGAATGATAAAATTTAAAAGCTAGTAAAAGATAAATACTTTCCTAATTTGAAGGTAAAGCTTTCAAATTTTAGGTGTTTCTGTGAAAAGAAATATTAGAAAAACTAAGTCAAAGAAAAGACCACTCGTACATCAGGGAAAATATTTCACTGTTGAGTGATACACTGAAATTTCAGTGTCAAGTAAGAATACTTGAATTATTGGTACTAACTTTGCACCTCCACTGCAGAGTTTCCTAAGATTTAATTAAGGAATCTTTCACTTTTAAAAATAGCAATCATAAAATCCTCATTTGAACAATTATGTTGAACAGCTTTTTCTAAACTTTCATTAGTATATTTTAAAACCTTTGACATAAACTTATTTTTAGGAGTTACCAGATATTTATGAAAAGAAAATGTAAATTAAAATGGTTAAGTAAAAACCAAAATTTTGGTTTGGGAGTAAATAATTTGTATTATTTGACTCTAATTTAGAGGTAGAAACTTTTTAGTTTAGGAAACTTTTGAAATTATAAAAACTGCAGAATACAAAGAATTACTGCACATTAATGAAATACAATATTGTACAGAATATATTTCTACTTCTAATTTCATTAGGCCTTGCTATAGAGTGAATGTTGTATCTCCCTCAAATTCATATGTTGAAATCCTCATCCCCAATGTGATGGTATTAGGAGGTGGGGCCTTTGATAGGTGAGCCCTCACAAGTGGGATTAGTGTCCTTTCCACTATATGAGGACACAGTGAGAAGACAGCCATCTAAGAACCAGGAATCGGGCCCTCACTAGATACTGAATCTGCTGGCACCTTGATCTTGGACTTCCAGCCTCCAGAATTGTGAGAAATAAATGTCTGTTGTTGGGCCAGCCTGGTGGCACAGTGGTTAAGTTCACACGCTCCACTTCAGCAGCCCAGAGTTTGCCAGTTTGGATTCCGTGTGTGGACCTACACACCTGTTGTCAAGCCATGCTGTGGCAGGTGTCCCACATATAAAGTAGAGGAAGATCAGCAGGGATGGTAGCTCAGGGCCAGTCTTCCTGAGCAAAAAAGAGGAGGGCTGGTGGCAGATGTTAGCTCAGAGCTAACCGTCCTCAAAAAATAAAGAAAGAAAGAAAGAAAGAAAGAAATGTCTGTTGTTTATGAGCCACCCTTCTATAGTATTATAGTATAGCAGCCTCAACCAATTAAGACAGGCCTTATCAAGGTATAAAGAATCTAAATAATAATAATATGATTTTTTGTCTTTTATTTTAATAAGTACCTATAACTTTGAAATATATAACCTCAAACAACTTGATGGTTTTACTTATTCTTGTGTTTGAATTCAGTGAAAACATTTCTTATATTTTAACTACAAACTAGCAGTTTTCAAATAGTATTTTTCTTTAACTAAAATGTACCCTTTGAAGTTAGTGCATTTGTATTTATCCCATTTGACATTCAGCTGCTAGAAGCAACACCATAAATAAAAATTACATAATTCTGGAGACAATGTATAGAATAAATATACAGGCAAAAAAAGTATATCTATTAGTACAAGTTAACTGCATAGTTTTCATCAATAAATAAAAGTTATTATGAGACTTCGTGCAGCTGTTTGGTAAATATTATCTGATGAGGACTATGATGGAGATCTGCCCATAGACTGCGTAACTGTGATATAAATGTTAGACCTTTGCTGCCTTCACTCACACTTACTACTCAAACAAAATGAATTATTCCTGAGCTGCAATAAAATAGACTCCTTCAGCTGTCCTACTGATATTTATATGTCCTATTTGATATTTATCAAAATTTGTTGCAAAAACAAAAATATTTCACACCAATTGATTTAGAAAGGGCTATTAAATGTTGGGAAAGCTATTCCTTTGGACTTAATACTTTAACATGGGACCTGAACAAGGGAAGAATTTTAAAGAATCTCTAGTGGGCAAATGAAGTGTTAAAGAAGCACAGA